AATATATGCTCATTATTAACAATGCAATACAGATGTGTGATGCACTAGCAGGAGGCTACTATTTTAAAGAGTTTTGGTTATTTAAGTGGATTTTTAAATGCCATGCTATTGTGTCCAAATGTTATTGTGAGTGTATTTTTGAGTATATGTCAATTAGATTAAGAGATTTGTTATAGAAACATCAGAAGATAATGGCTCCTTTATAAGCATTGCAAATTGATGGCAAACTAAACATCTTAAGATCAAATTATGTATGCTTTGTTCATGAGTGTGTGTTCTGTACATAATAAATTCAACAGCCTAATAACATTTCATAGAAAAACACATCATACTCTATCAGCCAGATGGAATATGATAGCTATCTCTATCTGTATCAAAATAACATTTATTTAGCCTACAAGACAATCTTATCTATAAATTCATCATCTACCATCAGTATGAGTCTTTTCCTTAGAAATGCAAGCTGTTATTAAAGATTTCAGATGTAACACCTCATTATCACTATAATGATATGATAAAATACAATAAAAGGAGGGAAACGAGAAATCTATTATTTAGATTACATTACAATAAATACAGTAATTGGAATTATTTTGGATATACTCTAAATATTAAATTAGAATAAAAGTTAAGAATCATGAAATTTCTAAGACTTAAGCATTCACTTTGCAGAGATTGGAAGCATTTCAGAACACAGCTGGCAATATATTTGATTTCTTGGCTATTGGAGTTTATATTAGATGAGACTAGCCACACTTTAATTGTTTTTAAAAATTAATGAAGCCTGAAACTGAAGTAAAAGGTCCATAGGGCAAAAAGGTTTTGTTTATTAAATATGTTCTCCCAGTTCAGTAAATAGCTCTAGCCATTTCTTAACCATAGTATTTCTGATAAACTTCTAAAAATTTGTCCTGTTGAATTATCTCACAAGAAAGAAAAATGCTACATAGTTAGCAAGTATTTGGAAAGTTGGATCATCTTCTGAAATCAAAGAAAAGCAATCAACAACAATGACGGAAATGGGAAAACAAAGACAGAAGATAATAAAGACGAAGTTATAAAATGCAGATATCTTACGAGTTGAGTCAAAATCCAGTGCCTTTTCGAGGGATATAGCTCAGTGGTTGTTGTCTCAAAGGCAATGACCCAAGTTCAATTCCCAACACCAGAAAAAAAAATAAAAATAAATAAATAAATAAAACCCCACTGATTATGATTTTCTCTACGGCGATATCGCGATTAAGCCCAAATGGCACATTCATGTCCACTTCTGGGGTAAATATCCATCATGAAATAACAGTTTTCTATTCAACACTTGCTTTCTTAATGAGAAAAATATTCCTAGGCAGATATTGGGTTCAATGAACTTCCCCAAAGTAGAAGTTAAATATATTTTCCCCATAGATCCTGGAGTCATCTTTGTGAACAATTTTAAATGTAAAATAAATATTGAAATGCTTTATGCCTGCCAGTAATAGAAGTTGACCAGATTTTTCTCTATTTTTTCCTTCTCTTCTGCTTATCTTGGTTCATCTATCTCTGTTGCTTTGCTTTTGGTTCGGAAAAATCATAATTGCATAACTGAGCAATTAAGGATTGTTTAGAATCATGCCTGGGAAATAAATTACACTCTATTCCCACAGAGTAATAATGTCAGTGAATGAGACCTACCAGTCGTGGGGCAGGAAATTAAAGTAATGATGGCCAAAGCTTTAAAAGTCACTAGGGACCGTTCATTACTGATTCTAAGAAGACAGATTTCTACTGTCCAGAAAATGACATTTGTTTCAAAACAAATGAATGAAACACAAAGCAAACAACCTGACTCAGTTCAGTAATGGGAAATTTGCAAATAACTCTGGAGAAAAGATAAACATTGAACAAAAACAAAAAGGAAAGCAGGGATATCCTGGAAACAAGACAGGACTGTTTAAGAACAATATTGGAAATAGTGTAAGATCACTCATAATGATATAACTCAGCTTAACCTCAGGGGGAGAATGAATTAATTAAAATGCAAAATTCTGTGATCCAGGCAGAGCGGCAGCTAATAGGCTTCTTTATAGGTTGATGGAAATACTCTAAAATTAGTGATGTTGAGTGCACAATATTGGGAACATATTAAAACACTTGAAGAATATACTTTAAAGGAGTATTTATGGCCTGTGAGTTATATCAAGAAGGACATTATTTGAGAAGAAAAAAGAGAGTCTATGATGAATTTAATGCCTCTCTCCGAAGACATCTTTAGAAGCAAAGTTGGATACCATTTTGCTAATCATAGTTTGATCCCATGGTTGTTATTGAGACTGACAGAATGAATTCAGATTTGACTACAATTTACAACATCAAATTTGAGAATAACTGTGACATAGAGACAGATAACATAACACACCAGAAATGAAATCGTCTCCTTTTAATTGTATTGTTGATGTCTGGACACCACATGCTTTATTTTAACTATGCTCTCAGTAATTCTGGTGTCTTCTTTGTGTCATTCTCTCTTTATGAATGTCCATTTCTGGGAAGCAAGCTGTTTTACTGCCAGCATGTTCAGGCTTCTGATGGCTGGTAGAAAGTCATGAAATCTGGCTTATTAACTTCTGTACAATTGATGTTATCTAACCTCACCCGAGCCTTCACTGCTGCCTCAAAATCCTTTTATTAATGTCTAATTGGCTCTTTAACACATTTTCCATAGTGCTCATCTCAAAGCTTTTCAAAACTCTTGTCCTCTTAACATGACCTCACCACTTCACTCCACAGATAGTCAGCATCTTGTGCTTGATGCAACTGTTCCATGCTTAGACGTGTAACTTACTCATTCCTTCCTTCGTTTACCAATAAAGACAAAGGTTATTTCACCATCACAAAAATAAGCTCAACTCCATTTGAAACAAACCTGCTGGTTTATAAACTATCTGCTTACTCCTGTGTCTATAATGACAGACAAGTCAGAATGAATGTGCTTGGTTTTTCCGCATCTCCACAATTTAACCATCAGAGTAGCGAATTCTAAAGTGACTTCCCACAAATTCAATTAAAGTCTTTCTAATGCTAAGTATCATTTTATGCATTTTTTATCACTCTGGGACCTTTTCTCTCATTCAGCCTATGTGCACTGAATAATAGCCTTTTTTTTTCTTTTCATTAATTTCATGTCAGCTTGTTTCTTCTCAAACCATACATTCTTAAGATTTCATATTTTACGAAGTCCTCCTACATTTTTTTTGCATACTATGCAAGCATTCTCCCACAGATCCTGAGCCTCCCCAGCTCATGTAACACTGTTTTCAAAATTCTTCCATTGCTTTCATCATACAAACCAATATTTTCAGTGAAATTACTTCAGGGCATAGATAATATCTAAAGCCTCTGCTAATGTATTTCTTTCATCTTCCCATTTGGCTTGTCCTTCTAGCACTGCCTTGAGATATCTGTTGCAAAGACCAAGTGATTTCTCTGTGGTGCTTAGCCTACTTCAATTATCTTTGCCATAAGTCACCACTGATTCTGAAAAGGTAATGTGGAACTTTCTATTACTGTCCTTGACCCTCAGTGCCAGCAGTCTATTTTAAGGACTCTACTTACTCTTCTCCACTTTTATTCTCCCTCCTTAGTATACGCCTAAAATGTAAGTACTGTTCATCTACCAGGAGTTCTTCTTGCTTTTTCTAGGAAATTTTCATTCATTGTTTGGAATTTCAGTTGTCATGAAAGTCTTCTGAACTAAATGTCTTTCTTAAAAGGAAAAAAAAAAGAGACATTTTTAATGTGATTTTGTTTTGTTTTGTTTTCCGAGACAGGGTTTCTCTGTGGCTTTGGAGGATGTCCTGGAACTAGCTCTTGTAGACCAGGCTGGTCTCGAACTCACAGAGATCTGCCTGCCTCTTGCCTTCCAAGTGCTGGCATTAAAGGCGTGCGCCACCAACGCCTGCACTAATGTGATGTTTTGCCTGCATGTGTGAGGATATCAGATCCCCTGGAACTGAAATTATAGACAATTGTGAGCAGCCATGTGGGTCCTGAGAACTGGACCAGGGTCTTCTAGAAAAGCAACCAGTGCTCTTATTGCTGAGGCATCTCTCCATCTCCAATACTTGTTTCTTTTCCTTTCCTTTTCTTCCTTCCTTCCTTCTTTCTTTTGTCGTTGTTGCTGCTGTTTTGCTTGTTGTTGTTTTGGTATTTTTCAAGAGAGTTTCTGTTTAGTCCTAGCTGCCATTGCATTACTTCTGTTGACCAGGCTGGCCTCCAACTCAGGAATATGCCTGCCTCTGCCTCCCAAGTGCCTTGGGCCATTACTCGGTACACATATGTTTTGTTTGTTTGTTTGTTTGTTTGGGTTTTTGTTTGTTTGTTTTTCAAGACAGGGTTTCTCTGTAGTTTTGGAGCCTGCCCTGGAACTCACTCTGCAGACCAGGCGGGCCTTGAACTCACAGAGATCTGCCCGTCTCAGCCTCCTGAGAGCTGGAATTAAAAACTTTGTGCCACCAACATCAGGCCCATCTGTCTTTTTAAAGTACTGCACATCTCTATAAACATGCTTCAACAATTTAAAGATGTATTGAAAACAAGCTTTGTTACTATACTTCAATAATAACGTAGAAAAAAAGAGGAGACATAAACTCTTCCTGCTATTTCAGGTTTCCTGTCAGTATAAAAACCCATCCAGGCCTAGCACTAACATTGCATGAATAGAAAACAACAGTGTCAGGAGCTGCTCTGAAAAATAGCATAAAATTATCATTGTTATAATTACTAGAAGTTGTGATCTAGAAACATGCAGCTCTAAATGGCATCGCAGTTTCAAGATTTTTTTTTTTTTTTTTTAACCTCACAGCAAATACCCAGCCATACACTGAATTACAATCTCCGTTGCTTGTACAGTTTTGCTGTGAGGGCAAATCTCTTGGTGTGCACCAAGAGATTCCAAAGCTTTTATCCTGAGTAGATCTGAAATGGGAGAGAGAAGAGAGCCAGCAAACAACCATTCAACTCACACTTTGTCTGTTCCATAGCTCCTGTAGTCGACTGCAGCTGACACTGCCACAATGAGAGCAGGCATCCCATAGCCGACCAGATAAAAGTACTTCCTACGGGAATGTTCACTCTCAAAAACCTCCACCAGCATGATATACAGCTGCACCCCTTCCAGAAACATCCAGGTGAAGGCCGCCAAGAAGAAGAAATGCAAAAGGGCTGCAAACACTGCACAGGCGATCTAGGGAAAGGAACACGTGCTTCAGTCACGGAACAAACATGTAGATCAACTGCCCTGCACAAAACTGACAGAAATGGCTATCCACCCAGCAATTATAAAATCGGACTGCAACAGAATAATCTGGATAAGACTCTTAGAGTGTGAACACTAAAATGAATTAAATATAACTGACTTGAAAACTGCCTTTTATCTTAATTACAGCTTATGGCTGACACCACATTAAAATAAGGAAAATTATAACATTTATGGGAAAATCTATTAAGCGCCCAGGGATAATTACTACTGAGATTAGTTTAAATTTTAAAATCCTTATAGTTAAAATTAAAGAACATTAAATATTTAAATCTGAATGTGATTGTGTGTACTCCTGACTCCAGGGCTCTATAGGCTGGCACAATAGAATCAAAAGTATACTGATCTAGAGAGGAAGACTGTGCATCAACATTTAAAAAAAAAAGGATGGGAGGAAAGAAGAAAGGAGGGAAAATAAAGAAAGACAAAAAGAAAATGAGAATATATAAAAATTAATTTTGTAAAAGTTTCTTCTGAACATAGACTAGTATGTCAGTTTTTGCTTTATTATTTATGGTTTGCAGTGCTGGCAATTAAACTGAAGGCGCTAGACAAATGCTCTACCCCTGAGCTACACTCTCCTCAATGTCTTCAATTATGAATGAAAGAACAATATTACAACCAAGGAAAATAAGCATTTTTAAAGTCAAACGATATCAAGTAATGTCATTAATTAATAGTAATCTTCTAATGAGATTGTTATTTATTAAGAATTGCTGATTGTTTTTTCCCTGCTTCAGACAGGGCCAAGAAGTGTTGGAATGTTAACTTTGCATTGAGGCAAAAATGGATCCAGTTAAAATGTAGTGTTCCGGACTGGAAAGATGGCTGGGTGGTTAAGAACGCTTGATTGTCTTGCAGAGCATATGACCTTGATTTCCAGCACACACACAGGGCTCCCATCATTTGTAACTTTAGTTGCAGAGGGTCTAAAGCTTTCTTCCAGTCACCATTGGTGACTGGAATGCATGTGGAGCACATAAATCCAGGCAAAAACACAGGCACATAAAATAAAAATAAATGTATCCTTTCAAAAATTCAATGATCAAGAAATGTTTTCTCTCTCAGACTCTTTTTTTGTTACTGCACTAGATATTAGTCTAGATAACTTGATTTAGATTAAGGACAGCTATTCATATGTTTCTCCCTAAAGTACTAGAAACTTTACTGGGTCATCTATTAGGTTCCCAATGATAATTTTCACAGCTTTGTGCTTGTTTCTTTTGACAGGAAGTCCTTATTTAAATGTTTCTTCTACCAACTACCATAAATACAAACAAACATAACAAAATTACGATGGATTCACTGATTGATGAGCATGGCCTCTAGACACACAGTGAGTAAGTCTGTTTCCATGCATTAGAAGGATGAAGGAAGAATGAAGAAATTAAATGTCAGATAGATTAAATGGAAACCAGGTTCCAAAGATGATGTGCAATTCAAAAAAGAACACCTAACTAGTAATAAAAAAGGAAACTTTACTAAGTAATACTTTCCCTATATTTTTTGTATCAGTCTCCATCTTTTATGTTGTCCACCAGAGACTGGTTTTGTACAGTATCCATTGTCTAGTGAAGTTTATCATAACATGTTAACATCGAGGCATTAAATTTCAAGTATTATTTCTACATGAAAGAAAGTAAAAGTATTTGAATTGGGATTTAACTATAGAAGAGAATATTTTCCTAAAAAATAAAGCCACATAATTGTTCATTTGCAGATTTAATGTTAGAATCTGAACTATACATGTTTATAATCATAAGGCTTTAGTTTGAAGGGGAAATGTGTACTTTGATTGCTTATTCATATTTTGCATTTATGAGAAAAACTATCACATTAAGTATATGATAACCAATTAAAAAGATATTCACCATAATTGTATCTTTTGCAATCATTAATCATGAATGTATAATCACAGTCTTGAATGCAACTGCATTTTATTATATAGTACATCATGCATATGAACACCTACTGGAGAGCAGCATTAAGTGAGTGAATTATTTATTGTACTCCCAAGTCTACAAAACTACAAAGTAAAGTTTTCCTTTTTACTGCAGCTCCAGTCATGAGATTCTTCAAATTTCTGAGCAAATGCATGCTTTGACCATTAATGGTGCAAAGTCAGAAAATCATGGGTACTTTGGAATGACTGTGACAATGTTCTCCCCAAACTAAATATACCTTACCATAGGACCAATTAACAACAATTTTTTGTTTGTTTGTTTGGGGTTTTCTTGGTAATTATTTAAAGGAGTTGAAAGATTATACCAGAAACAAAGCAAAAGCAAAACAACAAACAGCCACAATGCACTAAAATGTTGATAGTAACAATATTCTAAATTGTTAAAAGTTGGAAACAAACAAAATGTACAGATATATAAACTGTAGTATCTCAACAAAGGAATATTATTCAGTGTTAAAAAGAAAAGAGCTATCACGTCATAAAGTGTCATGTGAGAAAGCTAAGTATATATTAGCAAAAGAAAAAAAAACAGTTCAGTAAAGTTATATAGTATATGATCCCAATAATATTTGTGGAAAGGCAAAACTACTGGAGAACATAAAACGAAAAAAGTGAATGTCATGGCTTGCTGAAGACATGGGGATAAAAGAAGAATTATGGAGAATTTTCAAGACAATAAAACATACTGTATTTGCTATTATAAAAGAGAATATGTATTTAGGTGTGTCCACAGAATTCATAACACTCAGAATGAATTCTAAGGTAAATTATGAGCCATGGACTTTCAGTAATAATGATGTGTCAATAAGACTTCATCAATGGTCACAAATTGCATCACTCAGGTAGGAAGTGTGGATGACAAAGGAGGCTGTGCACTCATGCAAGCAGGAGTTATGTAGACAGTCACTACAATGTATGAAAAACCAGAGACTGTTGTAATACAGACATAAAAAGAAATGTATTCACTACAATGTATGAAAAACCAGAGACTGTTGTAATACAGACATAAAAAAAACACCCCATCTATGAAGTTCACTGTGTCTTTATGGCAATAGCCATGAAAGATGAATAGCAGAATAAGAGGGAAAGTCATTGTCTATGAATGGAAATGGAACAGAAGGAAAAAGCACTTTTGAACATGCTCTTTCCCTTTGCTGTTAGTCCTGGAATTCTGGAAATCATAGGTAGCCTTTGCTAGTAGCATTATAAGAGCTTACTGGTTGGTCAGTTCTGTTGATTCCAATCAGGAAGAGCAGTTCTGCCACAAACAGGCTGATGCAGAGGTTCTTGTGGATGGTGTTACGGTCACTCTGGAGCCCCCGGAAGAAGCAGAATGTGAAGATGCAAATCAGGAGACAAACAAGGGACAGCAAGATTCCAACCCACGTGATCACATCCAGAAGAAGATCATGGACTGCATCACTGTGCTGGAGACAGGAAAGAGAGACCATAAGTTGCCTTTGTGCATGAATGGTAATCAATTCTGTGTTCTGGGTTCAGGGAGCATGATTTTAAGAAAACAATAAACATCCCTGATACTCACAACAAATATGAAAACTGAATTATTTGGGATTTCCATTCCATAATTAAAGTTTTTTGTCTTTTTGGACAAGAAGTAAAACACTTGGAGATTCAGGGGTATCGATAAAATTAATTGGCTACATTCTTAGTACATGTATTTCCAGAATATAAATAATTGAAGGAGATCAATGTGACTCTGGCCAAATACTTCATTCATGGTAAAAGTGTAGGTTTTTAACCTGCACTGCTCTTTTGAACTATTTTTAAAAGTCAATTCATGTTGTAGAATATTCTATTCAAAACTATAAGAAGCACATTTAGGACATTAGTGCCTCAACTGGTTTTCGAATCAACACTTTCATATGTATATGAAATTTATAAATCCTCTACTATGAATGATTCATCATAATTTTCAAATTGAGCTCATAAAAGTATGAATTTTAATAAAAACCTTTAGTTATTTCTGTTGAGTAGCTACATATATACCATATATTTAGTAGAAAGCTCTCAGGTAATGAAGGTATCTATGGGACTTATATTCATATATAATTGCTTTAGAGTTTATAGTGACTTGTCAAAACAGAAGCCTGAACTGAGGAATAAAGTCAAGAATGGTCTGTGCATTATTTCTCAGGTTCTTAAAAAGCCATAAATACCTAATTTCTACCTGTAAATGAAAAGTAAATCATTAATTTTTAAATAGTTTATGTAATTTATGTAATTCTAAGCAAGTGAAAATTATTAGACTGACTTACAGATATCTATAAGTTGAAATTCTCAAAAATCTAACTATTTTCAATAAAGCAACCAGCCAGAGGACTTACATGGTTTATCACTTATGGAAAACTGTAAAGGACAAATCTAGTACATTAGGTTGAACGGGTACATTGTACGTTCTGAGTAGCAAGAGATCAATTATAATTTAAACAAATACCATTTTTGTCTGTGGTGATCACACACATTGTTTTGTTAATACAAGTAAATACCAGTTTCAGAGGAAGCCACAAGAGTCAACCCCCCCTCCCCCAAACTGATAGGAGCAACCCAACATGGATTCTAGGAGTAGAACTCTGGTCTGCTACAAGAGCAATAGGTGTTCTTAACCACTGAGCCATATCTCTCCAGCACTTCATACACTTTTCCCAAGGAAACACCAAAGCATAGTCTACAATTAACTACCCAGATTACAAATATTAATACTAGTTAACATGTTTTCTATTTTATTCTTCAACTTGATAGTGTAAAAAGCATGAATGTGAGAGTTGCTTGAATTGAGCCATTATCCCAGAGTCTAAATCTTATGAATCAGAGTATTTTCCTCCTGCCAGATGCAGTTACACTGTTGTTATTTCATGAAGACCTCCCCTAGAACTGACTGAAATAGGTTTGAAATATTCCTGCCCAAGTCAACTGAGTTTCTCAGGAAAAGCACAAATCATGAAAGGAAACTAGGTGAAGCTTTGTTTTAACGGCTTGGTTCTCTTAAGAGTATTACTAAAACAGCACTGGGTCTCTGATAGCTTAAATGACGTCTGTGGTTTGTGAGTAGAGAGTGATTGGTGCTGCCTGGCTCCCTGTACAGAGAGCTATTTGCTCTCCTCCTTTCCTCAAAGGAAAGAGACTGCGGAAGTAGCAAGCCCTGGTGTTCTGCACAGCAGTCTCCCATGATGGGAAAATGGAAGGTACAATGCCTCCTCAAATGCATCTGAAAGACCTAAAGCATTAAAGAAAAATAGAGGAGGAAACTGAAAACTCCCACTTTTGTTTGCCTGGGTAGTTGTATTATTAGAAATGTATTTACTTGGTGCCTCTGTAGACCCTTCAGAAGCCCCATGCAGAGTGCTGAGAAAAGAATAACAGATTTCAAAATGTCAGCAGCAAAAGTACATAAGACTCAAACAGAACAATAAAGCCTGGTGATTAACTCACCCTTAGGGCTGTCTAGCTGGGAAAACATCAACAGCCATCATCAACATGTATATGATACTAGGCTAAAACACCCATGTGATACAATGCAAATGATAAATATTATCAATATAATAAAATGAAAAGAGACAGCAGACATTAAGTCCTTCTAAGAGATGTGAGCATAAAAAAACCTTGCTTTTAACAGTTCGTCATAACACAATTTCAAGGAAATCCACGCTCAAAAACACACATAAAGTAGAAAAAATTAAAGAATTCCCTTCAAGATCATGACCAATGAAATAAAAGTCATAGTATAATATTGAAATGTGATAAGCAAGCATTACATTTTAGCAGTTTGGGGCTTTGAGCACTATACAACTCAGTTATTTGTAACAAAGATTTTCAACCCTCTGGGTACCTGGAGAATAAAGATGCCATCCATCTTATTAATATCATGCCCCAACTTATAGTATGTTCATGATACATAAAATGTCCTATAAATATCTGGTTTTGAAACATTTGATTACCATTGTTCTTAGACCAAATAGACTTAGAATTAGAAGCAGAATGATTTCAAGTTGGAAGCCAGCGTGAATTAAATAGCGAAATTCTCTCTCTGGTCTGCCTATCCCTGTGTGTCTGTCATTCTCCCTCTCTGTCTCTCCCTCTGTATGTGTGTGAGAGAGAGAGAATGAGAAAAATATATAGAGAAATGGATACTGCAACTCATCTGACTTAAGCCTATAATGTCTCCTACCTAAATAAAGAAAAAAATAATTTAAAGTCCTTCTAAGGTTTTACAGAGTGTTATAAGATCTGTACTCTAGATGGGCAGTGGTGGTGCACACCTTTAATCCAGAATTTGGGAGGCAGAGCAGGGAGGTTGCTGAGTTTAAGGACAGTTTGGGCTACAGAGCAAGTTCCAGAACAGCCAGAGTTACACAGAGAAACCTTGTCTTGAAAACAAAACAAAACAACAAGAACAAAATAACTGTACACTTGGACTGAAGAGATTGCTCAGTGATTAAGAGCAATAGCTACTTTTTTCAGAAGACCTGGGTTCAATTCTCAGTACCAACATGACGTCTCTCTACCATTTGTTAAAACGTTTTGTAACTCCAGTTGCAGAGTATCTAATACATGATAGTGATTGCCAATAGTCTAGATCACAAAAATGTACATGTCATGGTCACAATCAGCATGTTGACTCTATTTTTTTTATTCTTTTTCATTCATTCAGCCACTCACTCATTTGATGTTCTGTGTTTTTTTTGTTTGTTTGTTTATATTGTGTTTTGTTTTGGGGAGGATGAGACAGCTTTTCTCTATGTGGCCCTGGCTGTCCTGAAACTCACTCTGTAGACCAGGTTGGCCTTGAACTCAGACATCTGCCTGCCTCTGTCTCCCAAGTGTTGGAGTTGCAGTCACTGTGTGACTTCATTTAGTGTTTTTGAGGTACAGTTTTACTTTGTTTCTAGGCTACCTTCAAACTTGTTATCCTCCTGTCCCAGACTTGTAAGTGTTATCATTATGTACATGTGTGATACCTGCCACAATGCTCTGCTATAATGTAACTTTAACTACTTTGATAAATCTAAGGTACACAATGAGCAGTAGCCTACCTAGGGCTACATAGGAAGACACTGTCTCATGAAAAGACACAAACAAACACCAACAACAAAATAGAGGGAGTGAGTTACAGGTCAGTTGCTTCAGAATATCTTTAGCTATCTTGAAATATTAAGCAGCCAAAAAAAGGAAAGGGTTTTTTAATGTAAACAAACAGTAAGAGAGTTTTAGAGTAATACAAAGTAACTCTGCTGAGTAATTGTTACCTTGAACCAATGAGGGGTGTCCTCCAACTTGTGATATGGTTACATCTGATGAGTCCATCTTAAGCTTAAAATACTGTCAATTTGCCATGCATGCTTATCCTAACAAGCTAATTTTGTAATAGAATGTAGTGTTGATTATATGTTGTTTACTCTGGTGATATTGTGGTTGATGGGTATGTGGTTTGTTACTACTGCCAAGGAGCATGAGTAAGAATTATATCCCATGTCTACAACCTACATTATGTGAACTCATTATATGAGTTGGTTACATTTGGGAATATATAAATATATGTGCTTGCAAAATGAAAAAAGAGGCTATGAATTTGAAGGAAAGCAGGGAGATTTGAAGGAGTATATGGGAGGATTAGCAGAAGGGAACAAGAACAGAGAAATGTTAAATTTATATTCTAATCTCAAAAAATAAAACCAACCCACCATGCTACTGTCTTGGAATAGGCAAACATGATTCAGTAGAGATTCAACTGAATGCTTATTGCTTTTGGCCTTTTTAAAGCTGAAAATCAAAGGTAGAACCATCATACATTCACGACTGTTCACCTGACTTCTTGAATTTCAGAAGCCTTGTCCACACAAAAGCAAAAGTTACAGTATACTGTGATTGATAAACAAATGTTTTTTTCTTCCAATTAGAATTTTTGCAGTTTAACAGCTAGAAAATTTAAACTATCAAAAGTATACATGCTTCATAAAATAATGAGTCATAATATAACAATAATAAATACCATTCTATTAAGGATACCAAACATCACAAGTTACACAGTTTCATGAATAAGTCCTTCCTTAAACAAAAATAAGAAAGCAAGAAACAAAGAAGCAAATGAGAACCTTGCTTTCAGGATTATCACTCTGCACTTTGCTGCAAAGAATTCTCAGACTTTTTAAACAGAAACATGGCAGGCAAAGAAAATACTTGAAGGAAATCATCTCCTGTAAGAAGATGGGGAGAAAAATCTCCCAGGCACATGATAGAATACTCAAGAAGACACAGTTTTAGGAACTTCAAAGATTCTCTCATCACTTGTTAGAAATTTTTACACAAACAACATTTTTTCCTTTCTCTGGAGATTCTGTTCATCTGTGAAATGACAGATATTTTTGGAAGAGCTACAGAGAATTTCTGATTTTTCTTTTATTTTGATCTC